TACAAGAGTGCACAATGGAGGAGAGTTTCCGAGATAGCTCAAAAGAACAATATGTACACAGGAAATGGAAGATGAAAGTGAGGTGAAACAAGAAATACCGTATACGGCAGGCGGCATCGGATTCTGGATTTGCCAGTCATTGCGGCCTCTATGGGGACAGCTACAGAACGCTTGCGCCTACTCAGGGAACATGGGTAACTTGTGCTGCACCACACACAGCGTTAACCAGAAGGAGTAAAACCAGGAGGCATGCGGACGGGAGCTACGTTTCATCAATGGAGCTGCCTCAACACGCAAGCAGTATCATTCACGTCTATTTGGGGAATCATGCGTACCAGGTGTACGCAAGACGGTGGCCAGAAGATAGTCATGTCTACACAGGATATATTGAAACACTATGAGTACAGCACAGTCACGAGGACCACGCACTACCTCTCTCCCAGCAACGACAACTTTCCCCTGCAGCCAGTAGAATGGAAGTAGCAGTTTTCGACGGTTACGTACATTGTCAACATTGCCAGCAAGCGCAGCCACATCGGGGATATCAGATAACAACAAAAGCAATAATAATAAATAACGTTTAACCGATTCATCCCTGCAGCTGACAAGTGGGACAATCTAAGAAACAATCCGAAGAAGCACCAAACGATCGTTTCGCCATAAAGATGCTCCTTAATTGTGGACATTCACTTAGTCCTCTGTCGACCGAACAGCCCGTTGGACGGAACATTTTGAAGAGCAGTACAACAGGGCTACTGCGGTATATTGCCGCTTGCCGAATCACCTGAGCCGTCATACGAAGCAGACGCAACACATCCCACTTCGGAAGAGATTACACAGGAACTTTCCGTGTTGAAACCAAACAAGACTGTTGGATTCCACCAGCTTCCTCCATCTTTGTTGAAAGATGGTGGTGGCCATTTGTTGGTTGGATTCGCTACTCTACTTAACAAGAATTGGAACAATGAAGTGGTTCATTCAAACTGGCGACTATCAACTGTCAGCGTACATTGTGCGGAAACAATAGAGCCAGGAATCTTGTTTCCATCGCATCCAAACTCCACACGAGTAACATTCACCGAAGACATACTGGTTCTCGTGAGAACCGAATCACTGAAAGTTAGGCTCGCTTCCGCCCTGGTAGTGGTTGTATCGACCACATAATTACTCTTCGTCAAGTTGTTGGGCAAGGACACATATAGACGACCGACAACAGTGATATCCTTCGACTGGAAAGCTGCCTCCCACTCTGTAGACTACATCAGCTTGTGGCGCTGCCTATCCATGAAAAGCGTGCCGGTTAAATCCCTTTTCATTCTTAAGTCTCTCTAACGTGACCGCCGAGGCCGGATAAGGGTGCAAGGGAAAATTGTTCCTGAGTTCCTTACGACAAGTGGGCACGCCAGAGTTCTCTTATATCTCCTTCCCTCTTCAACTTAGAAATGATCATGAGTGACTCCGTTCTTTCAGAATCTACCAGGTAATCGACTGACAAACCTGGAGTATGCGGACGACATACCTCTTTTGGGTCCGACGCAGTAGATATGCAAACAATGCTGGACAGACTGATGCGTTGCGCAGCAACATTCGGCATGTGCTTTGCGCCTTCAAAAAGCAAAGTACTGCTTCAGCCGTGACCGACACACCACAGGATCGAACTATCATCACTGGAAGTGGTGGCTGTGTCACTTCTGGTGGTCACTTCACTGAGGTAGTTACTTCGCGCATCAGCAAGGCCCGAGTGCCTTTCTAGAGTCTTAAGCACCTAGGAAGACGGCGGGATATCAGCCTGTCAGTGATAGGTAGGGGTGTATAACGCTGCAACAAGGCCTGTGTTACTGTATGGATCAGAGACGTAGCCAGTTCGCGGCGGACATTAAACGCTTAGCCGTGTTTGACCACCGGTACTTGGGGACCAGTTATCACGTCTGGTTGGAACGCCGGGTGAGCAATGCTGAGGTCCGCTAGTTAGTTTTTAAAAAAGCCTTCCGTGCCTCACTGGAGCGTTTGCTCAATCTAAATCGTCTACGTTGTCTACGTCATGTCCTACCAATGCCCGTTGACCGGCTTCGTCGGCGTGCAATATGCACCGTGGCTGCACCAAGTTGGGTGAAAACGCAAGATGGCCAGTCCATGACGTGGCATAGGGGCATGAAGAAATTGACTGAGACTTGGTCAGGCTGATGCGTCCCGTCTTCCTGGATGTGGGCCTCGGGATGGTCCAATCCAATGGTTGGAAACTATGTCAAACGCGACACAGTCACGTGGTCAGTGGCGTTCCTACATTCGTTTTCTTGCACCCGGCTGTTAATTGCCGTTCTATTCTGATTAACGCACTTCCTTCTTGCTTCCATTATTGTTGTTATTTTTGCAATGTGAGTCGTGGCAACTGGATCCAAGGCACCTCGGTACTCGGATCATAGTTGATCAAGCGCACTGAACTAAACTATTGATTGGAACACATTTGACACGCTGCGTAGAACCATGTGTTGGGACCGACTCTCCTTCACAATTGATGCGGCGTAGCTGCATGCGAACTCACGAAAAATATGATCATAAGCACGGACAATCTCGCAGTTACGTAGAGGTTAAACACAGACAACCTACATAACCGAAGCAATTTATCAGAAACATTCGTAGAGAAACATCCGTAGAGCCAAGAAAAGGCAATGAAAGACAAAAATGCCTGGCAATGCATTCAACATCGCACTTACCCAAATGAACACAAGTTACGTGATTCCGGAGGAGAAACTTCAAGGAAAACGCTTTTCCACAATATTCGCATATGTGATCTCGCTGCTCTGGAACAAAAAACAGAACGTCAGTAGTCATGCATAATATCGAGGAACGAACTATTCCATGTAGAAAAATCACAGTACACGGACCACAGGGGCTGTTAGAAACACCGTCGGATCCACTTTTTCAATTGACTGACTATGAACAGTGAGTAGAACCGGTTAACGAGACATGATTATCTCGCATCGACAGCTGCTCGTGAGCAGTCAAAAACACATGTGTATGGAGTTAAAGCAGAAGCTGAGAACTCGCTGAGACTGGTTCTCAACCATTGGCGGCTGTTACCCATAAAGTAGGTTCACTATAAAAAACACCCAAAAATAGTTTAGTCTAAAATGCTAATTACCTATAAACTAGTACGATTTTATGCTTTAAATTAGGGAAGATGACTACTAATTTTAATCATGCTCAATCAATGTTATCCGGGGAAAAGGAAACACATCAAGGAAAACCCATTGATTTAGCAATCAATCGATTATCCTCGATTGTGCATTGATTTCGAAGATTCCTGAGCCTTCCATTCCGTCACGTGATTGCCAGCATGCGGAGTTTTGGCAGGGAGGCTGTAAATTTTACCGGTTGACCTACGTTTTCTAGAAGCCTAAGATCATCGAGCCACCTATATATTTGGCGTAGGTCTGGTGTAGCTGCACAGCGTTTTGGCTACGTTTGGCGGTTTTTTGTTAACACCATTTTCGCGAACAAGGTCGTTGGACTTCTGATTTTTCTTCCACTAGGCTAGAATTCTTGCGGAAAATGTTGGGTGTTTAATTCGGAACAGCGAGAAAATGTGAAGATCTAACAATTATAATAAGAAACACAACTAATTTTGGGATATTTTTATAAAATCATGATGTATGCTAATGAGACGGTAGATAATGTTTATTTTTAACGATCTGTGGCATATTTGATGCGCTTTCGGCTAATGCATACATGATCGACGGAAGACCGCTGCAGTACCTGCTTCCTTAGCCTGTATGAGAAACGGCTTTGGTGTCGTATGTGGAGTACCTTGTGTCTACTCACGTCGAATTGCAGGAAATTTTGCATTGACCATTGATATATCATATCCAGCTAAAGCTGAAGTAGCTGCACTCCACTGAATCCTGCGCCAACCCTTGATGTCATCGGCAAGCAACACGAAATTTTAGTTGATTGCCTGTGCAAGGTCATTACTAAACACCAAAAACAATCGTGCCTATAGGAATGACTTGTGTCTCACCATACACACTTAGTATAGGGTCAGGTAACGAGCTCCAAACTCCCGCTACTAACTGTAACTGAAGGAGGAAGTTGGCGATATAGCTAAGGAGAGTCACTAATCCCGTAAAACTGGAGCTTGGAAAGGAGTATCCAATGGGTAAGACGATCGAATGACTTCGAAAAATCTAAGTAGATCACATCAAAATACATTGCAGCGTCAACTGACTCGGTTCAACTACTCCGTGCGATTATTGAATTCATTGTGCAAGATCGCTATTAAACGAAGCCGTGCTGCTTGGGCGTGATAATGTTACGGTTTTTTAGATATCACACCAGGGGATCGGCAATGATGGATTCCATTAGCAGATGAGTTGCTAGAGAATGACTTCAAAACAGTTAACTGCAGTGTTAACGACACCCGTCTCCCGAGTCGCAGCCCTGCAGTTTTCCACAGTACGCTTGAGCTCATACAGCGACTACACGTGGCATCCGTTGCACCATCCACGCACCCTATATTCAGTGTAAACCAGAAGGTATTAGTCCGGGAGGCATGTGGATGGAAGCCACGTTTCATCAACGGAGCCGACCAAACAATCCTTCAGTATGCACAGCAGCAGTAGCATTCCTGTCTATCTATGTGGGGAATCATACGTACCAGACGTACACAAGGTGATGGCTGGGCCGTAGTCCGCTAAACACACAGAATGGAGACTGTTTAGACCTAAAAAAAGTTGCAGAGAAACGGGAACACGGGATATCCCTGTTGTAGTATGCGTACACGCACACGCACACTCAAAAAACGTTCCTCCACAGAGGCCAGTGCATGACAGTCAAACGATAAATATGAGACGCACATTCCATTCACTGTAAGCAAATAAGCTTGCCTAAATAGATGCAAACAGTTTGCACATTAGAGGCTTTTCAGTGTGAAACCAATGCAATGTTAACTCGGTGGAAGCCAATGACGATGGCAAGTGGAGCCTTCAGTTCCATACACTCACTCAAATGAACAAAACTGATGTGCCTTCGCAAAGTGTCCTTTTTGAGATACGATTTAGCACAGCGGTCACACGCATGGGGGCGTTTTTCTGGATAGGGAAAAAGAACAATCACAGATGAAGTGCGCAGGGAAACAGAGAGAGATCTTTAGACAATTTATTAGAAGGGTGTGTCTATGTGGTGGCAGAGAAGGGTCATACCGATGGTGGAGAAATCTCAGTGTGAAACTGTGGATGCTAATTTCCAATTATCGCGCAATCTGAAGGAGATAAAAGAAAAACGGTGTGTGTGGGTAATCTGCAAGAAATGATGATTTGATGCTAGTCTTGCGCACGAAGTAATGCGAAAACATTTGATTTGTCCCTAAAATTTTAAGTGCATAGTAAAAAGCGAGGTCTCCATGGAACGATGCGAGCATTCAGTAGAAAGTGCAATCGATGTAACCGCGTGGAGGGGGGAACTACTGCTGACGTAACCAACAGCGATCATTGTGATACGCAATCTTTACTAAGACATCGACTTACTTTGAAGTAGACGTCGTTGTGTCAAACGTTGCTTACTGATTCCAGCGGTTTAGTGACCAAACGTAAACCATTGATCACGAGTCCGCGACTCTCACTTCTAGCTCAACCTATCTCCACCTAATGGATGCAAGCAAGGACGAAAGCTGTCGTGGGGTATCATTTTTTAGAGGAATAACACTAAGATCCTACTATTTACGTTGCGCCTATTTAAGTAAACAGCACGGTAAACCATTGTCTTAATGGGCAGTTGTTTGACAAAACCAAGTTATTAACCCTATAGCACACTGCCACAGTGATTACCCGAGGAACCCACATAATCGTGATACAATGCCACAAGTCAGCGGGTACCCAGTGTGCTCGGCCAGTGACACAGTGATGTTTTGGCGCAATAATAATGTTTATTTATGGGTGATGAAGCCGCATTGCATCAAAAATGCGATGGGTGACTCGTTGAAAGTTTCACGTGGTTCACCGGCCAAGTTTAGGGAAGTTAGGTAAATAGATAAAGTCAAAGCATTTGAGAATACGCATGTGCTCCATGTGCTATGGAGCAAACTTGATGTGGAACTAGCATTCCAATTCCGCAGTCAGCCAACTAACGCTCCGCATCCAGTCGACAGTGCTCCAAAAGTGGTTACAATAATTTTAGGATAAATACTCCGCTTGCTTCAGATAATTAGTAAAGAGATTTTTGAAACTCGTAGCGAATCGTCCGAACCTACGGACTAGACTGGTCTGCTAGAGGATGTCGAAAACGTTCAATGCCTGCACTTCAGAGGTACAATCAATGTCAAATGCAAAAGTGATCACTGAAAGACTTGCGACAGACAGCAGTTTCACGACTGAACATGGGGTGTCAACAAAGCCCAAAATGACTGACTACAACACACAGGGCTAGTGATGCTGATTATACTTCCACACGGATAATCAAGTCAATTTCCATTTTACTTACGGTCTTTGTGATCGGAATGACCGACGTCCACCTCAAGTGAACCGAGGTCTCAATAGAGGTTGCTTGTAGCAACCAAACCACCAGCGGATTCCAAGCCCAACTTTACATTCGTTTCCGCTGGACCAAGCGTTGCTCGTGGAACTCAGTGGCATAGTGCTTATGGCGTCAACCATGAGCCACTAGGCTTTGAGTTCCAGCCCAACTCAGGCTTTCTCGAACTGATGAGTCCCAACCAGGATGAAACCGCGGTCTTCGGGTGCCAGTGTTGAGATGAGCAACACTATAATGTTTCCAAGTCAAATCGTGCTTCTAATGATGTGTCTTGTATGTGAGGTGGCAATAATGGGATTCAAAGGGACATCAACTGTATTAACAGGTAAATAGCAAACGTAATGGAAAACATCAACTCAAACATTGAGCTGTAATGCCACGCCTAGTCTACACCGGCCTGTAGCGAAACTCGTCAAAGATGCTGATTGACTTAACCGAACAGATGAACAATATCGAAGGCGTCATTTGGCGACTCTGTATCATCGTGTCGCTTGGATAAACAACAATCAACTGATCCTAGTTGTAAAGGTATAGAAGGTACTTCAGCATCGTTGCATCCACACACACATGATGTAATCGAGTATAACCACTATCCAGTCACATTTATGAATAAAGCGGAGCATGCAGAGCATGCGTAGCTTATCAGGAATGTGTCTCCACCGCGGATGGCAGTACCTCGTGGCTCGAACGCACTGAAGCAGATTACACTCAACAAGGAAAATGACAGTCGTCCATTGACGTTACTCGATTACCTACCTAATCAGCAACATATCATCATCACGAGGCGGATGACACAGTCTTTCATTTCGATGTCTATGGGCGAACTTTCTAGAAAGCCTCCGTTTAACTTTCCAGTTTCCATAAATCACTACGCCTATCATGTGTCTAGGTAACCCGAACCATTTTTTAATCGGCGATACTCTGGTACAACTACGTCCACTGTAACTACTTTCAAATCATCATACAATACATGCACGGTTTAAACAATTTTAGCCGAGGCTCCAACACACGGCTTTCAAGCCCAAAGGGTATAAGTATTCATATCTCACGACTAATTCAACTCGTCATTCTCTTCAGTCTAAGATACCAAGCTCAGTTGTTTCGGTGACTAATCCTGATGTTATATTCATAACGAAGTCCAGGTGCAATGATGACATATCTGACGATCAGCTAACCAATTTCCGATACGATAAGCTTATCAGAAAATGGCAGTGCTATCTAGGTGGAGGATGTATCATTTAGCTAAGAAATCGCTCGCAGCTGCTCCTAATGCTGCCTAGGGTAGAGGAGTCGGTTAAGTTTACGATCCCTACAGGCAACAATAACTATTTGTGGGATACATATACGGTGTGTCAAGCTGCAGCTAACAGGATCTAACACGTTTGCCGCTTGCATTTGAATGTGCTGCAAGATTATCATCAAAATATAACATTAAAGGAAATGATTTCAATATACCAAAGATTACATGGTACACGGGAAAAGGATCCCCTGATATTTGAAAATATTATCAAATGTATGGCTGGAAACAATAAGTCACCTAACTTACCAGATAAAACAGCACTGCGGGTCCCATATTTAAGCCGTACATATCTAATATTAATATTGCTATTTTTAAAGTATTTCCTGGCAACGATGATCGGGTGGGCAAATTCTGTATGTCCCACGTACAACACTAAATACATTAGCGTCTGTTCAGTTCCGTCAAGCGGAACTCGTTCCTGGACCTGGTTAGTTCGATGATTTAGGACGACTTCTTTCTTTCTTCATGTTCACAACAGGCAGCAGAATTACTGTCCAATATACTTACTGTAAGCATCGATTCGGTAGTGCTGCTAAAAGGTACCAATAAATCTTTTGCAATCTGCTAAATGTTGCAAGCAAGATTTCTGAGGATCAGTAAAATGCAGCCTAATTGTAAACTTAGCGCTATTCCACCAGCAATCAGAGTAACGATTCCAAGTATCCAAATTAGTGAATACTCTATTTCCAGTTAGGTATCAGTCTAGTCTATTGCAGCCGTTGACGAGGCGAAGGAATAAATTCGTAAAACAAAGTTTCGTAAGGGAATCGGGCGCTAAGATTAACTTGGATGAAGTTATTGTCTCTTCGACTTCAGCTCGTAGTTTATCAAAAAGCGACGCGTTGGAGAAGGCGGAACGTCGTTTGACTAAAGACAATAACTTGGGAAGAAAACTGAAGCTCACGGGAATGACGATGTGCATTCGCATGCCTTACTTCATGTTCCAATCGAGAGTATACACTCAGAGACAGGAACTTGCCATGGGATCACCAGTATCCCTCATATTGGCAAATTTGCATACCGGAGAATTTGGAAAGATTGCGCTGAGTGACTCTAGTGGCTCGCCGAAAGTTTAGTGACGCTAGGTGGATGACAATTGTGTGATCAGAAAACTGCATAAGAAAGAGGTGTTTTTAAACCACTTGAACATCTGCTGGGACTATGCATTTCAATGTGAAATCGGAATCTTGTAGCAGAACATTGGTATCTTTTGACTGTTTAGTTCGCAAGAATGAGGATCATCATCATCATCATACACGTTAGCTAGAGGTGGGGAACACCTCAGCTACTGTGCCGCAATACACAGAAAAAAGGAGAGAGAAAAAAGAATTCAACTGGGGCAAGCCGGCTGAGCTACCGGTAACGGATGGGCATCGTTCTGGTAAGCTACCAGCAGGGTACTATGCATCAAAAAATTACTAAGTAAAATTATATAATGTTAAATAATAAGATCGTGGTTGGAGGGGGAGGCTAAGAGGGATGGGGTGGGACAAAGCAACTCACAGCACGAACAAGAATGAGGATAGTCTGAAAACAACAACATTTCGTAAACCAACGGACAAAGATAAGGTACTCCGGTATAGTTCAGGTCACCCATAGTATTTGTATGCTGAGATCGCGTCATCTGTTTCAAAGGCCGCAGACCATGTACACAGAAGATAAAGATAAGAAGGCCGCTCGGAAGGAAGCAATAAACCAACTGCTTGATAGCAGATACCCGAGGCGGTTAGCGAAACACCAGTCGCAGTTAATGTTAAATCCGATTTCACGACGTAACATGGAGTGGATTGGGACGACAGGTGTTCAATATAAATTCGAAGGCCATTCGAGGAGGTTAGCAAACAAAGAGAAGAAAAGTGCAAGTTTATAAAGGGAACACACAAAAGGGCTGGAAATTGTCGCACTTGTGGTACCTTTTTCCAGCAGATAGGACCACTGATGATGTCTACGAAATTGGTGGCAAAGACTGCGCACACGTGTACGTAGGCCAAACCGCACGAGACCAACGTAGGAGAATAAGAAAACACAGGAGACGCATAGCGCCACTGAAGGACATTGAATACAGAACTTTACAAAGGGGTTCGGCACTGGTGATGCAGCAGCTTTCCAGTTTCCCAGGCCGAAGGGTTGACTTAGGGGGCCTCATCCGGAGCCTACGGTCATAAGTAGTTCACTCACAAGACCATTGGGAGCTGGTCACCGATCGTTCGCTTCAAAAGCCTTACGTTTGGCAAGCTGCTAAACTATGTGCCGCGTTTCACTCCCAGTTCGTGCTATCGCTATCTGATGAGTTCAAATAAGGACGAAATTAGCGGTCATGGGGTGCAGGGATGGGAGGAGGCAAATCCGAAACCCTCCACTTCGGATATGGCACGGGTAGTGACCTCGTTTAGTGGTGTGCCACGTTCAGTATGTCGCAGTGTTGTTTAACGCTTGCCGGGCGAAAACCAAACACGTCATGGAATAATGCGCTGAACATATTGCTGGGGCAGTTATGTCCCGAAAAACGCACCTGACAACACGAGGATGTTGCTTGGTAAGCCAGCTGCTTCGTCATAGCTTAATTCGCAACAACGAAGGCTAAAAAAGCATGCACTTGGATTCCTACAGGGTCGAACATACCTAACTGCAGAATAAACTGCGAATCATATTCAGGTCTTATGACAATGTGGCAACGGTACCTTGACCTGAATACAATAATGACTATACGCATAGAAGAAAAATCGCTGGAAGAGCGATTCGAGAACGGTCCAAAATGTTCTATACACTTAGAATACCAAAGCATGGCTTTCGCTTTAAACATCCCCTAAAGCGATATACGTGAAACGCATGGCTAAATAATACCAATTTGTATATCTCCCATGCAAGAATCTGGTTACTTTTATTTATAATAACTTGTGCAACTACACACAGTTCCCTCAGCCACAAAAATATACGCATTTCTACCATGATTATTATACAATTCATAGTGATTTCCTTACTTCGCGGACCGCAAATACAATTGACAAGAAAGCACCTTCGATTATGACATTGTGGGAAATAGCTGTGGCTTTCGTTTATAGTAGAACTTAGGGACAAGAAGACGAGTAGCTAGAGAATGAATTCAATAGACTGCACCCACACAAGCACTTTCCACAGAGGGAATTACATAAAAGTCAAACGATATACGAGGCTCATTCACACCACTACAAACTAGCTGGTATGAGAAATGGAAACCTCTGGCACAATAACATTACGCTTTAACGAAAAATAAACAAAGAAATGTTTATTCGGCTGAGAGCGAGTGAAATCATTGACGATGAGAAAACACAAGTGGAGCCTTCAGTTATATACTCACCCAAATGAACAAAACCGATGTGCCTTTGCAAAGCGCCCCTTGCGGGAAACGACTTACCGCAGCGGTCACACGTATGGGGTTGTTCTTCTAGATTGGGAAACAAAAGGCCAATAATCACAGATGAGCCATGCTGGGAAAACAGATAGAGAATTGTGTATACTCCGTGCCGAAGACGTGGTACATTAAGACGAAAATGATAATTGAGGAATCCAAATGAGAAAATCTGGTCGCAAATTTCCAGACATCTCGCAATGTGAGATGGGAGGATGATAAATAAGGTGGAAACAGTCTGCAGGCAAAGACGGCTTGATGTCAGTATTCCGCACGCGATACCAAAATAGTGAGTTTCGAAGAATTTGTATGCAACCGTGGGCAATGTTTCGCTTTTGACACAAAGGCCTCGCGTTGCCGAGTGAACCAGTGGAGGACTGATGTGGTATCGATAGCAAACTCGCAAGATAAACGCGACCTTGTGACCTTATAACATAGAAAACTTAGGACAGTTCCATGCACTACAAGTGACACGTTGAGGTACATCCTAAGTGCCGCGAGTAAATCCCGGGTTTGCTGCAAGCTGTGCACTCGGCCTGATGGCAATACAGAAAAGTTGTAACAAAATATGCCATTCAAAAGCTTGATTAGCTCACGGGGATGCTGATCTTCAGTGATCCGACACAATAATCCAGAAATCCGGCACATTTAGCACATAATCGTCACCATGTAATGTTTGAGTCTGATGAGAATTACCGAAAAGAATTCTTTACTCAGAATCTGCCTCTTTTGATTCAAAGTATACCAACCTGTTGACCATAAATGCTTCAGGAATCATAAGTTCCGGATCGGTTCTAAGCACCTGCTTTGTCCCCAGGAGTTAAAGTGCGTAACGAAGAATGAGGTATTTATGGAAAGACACCAACATTCAGTGCAAAGTATAATCGGTGCAACCGAGCAGAGGAAACCCCACTGCTAATGTGACCAATAGCAGGGACTGTGCAGGTTGTGTCCAATTAGCTACCTCATTCGCCTCTCAGATTATTCCGAGTAACTGCAAATAGAACATCTCTGCCTTCCCGTACCCACAACATCGCATTTGCACAGAAAACATCTCAGAGTACAAATCGCTGGTCCAACGTGAACAAAGATTTTCGTATCAGTCTCGTTCATTATCATCATCATCATCATCATCATCATCATCACCAATACCTGTCAGCAGAGGGTGAGAAACATACCTCAGCCAAAGTGCCGCAATATAACAAAGATAAGAGATTAACCATTACAGATTAAAAAGTGTATAAAAAAGTAACAATGCCAAAAGCACATTATGCATTGGGTTTGAGATCGTTCTGGGAAAGGGAAGGTAAGGAGGAGGAGGGGGACAAAGGTACTCAGAACACAAACGCCACTGAGGTCGAATCCTCGTCATGTCAACTAGTGTATCCAACCAAAGGTGTTCATTATACTTCGGGCCCCAACCTGGCAGTCTGGGTGCGAATTCGACGCCTAGTTCGAAGTGACGGCCTTCATTCCTTTTGACCGAGTCATCGCTTGGCCTCCCCTCCTCTCCTATTCACATCCCAGCGCGCACGTTTCATCGTCAAGCTAGACGACATCATCAGTGCGATTTAAGCGGGCCACTTACAGATCGTCGGCCGGTGGCCGAGTGGTCTGCACGTTTGCATTGCAACCATAAGGTCACCGGTTCGAATCCGCGTAGGGGGGGGGCGTCCTCGCGGTATACTCAGCCCGCGCGCGACTGGTGGTGGTCGCGCGGCAGCGAAGTGCCATTACGGCGTACAGCAGACACATTCTTATGTTTTATTATTATTACTTACAGATCCAAGTGATTATCGATCACTTTGTTTGGTCGCTTGGGTCATCAGCTGATGCACCAACGCTGGAATGATTAGCGGGAATTCTTCGAAAGTATTTCGACGCTTTCGCATGGAAATCCGGCGATTCGGGGTGGACCAGCCTAGTGAAGCATACGATTGACATCGGTGCAGCTAGTTCGATCAAGGTGCCCCGAGAGAAACTCCAATTCACCGGCAGAGTGAAGTACAGAGAGGAATGTCGTACAATCTTCCAATTCCGCGTAGGCATCTCCTGTTATCTTGGTGAAAAATAGAGGGTGGATTTCGTTGGTGTCGATTAGCGAAGATTGAACGAAGCTACTCGAAAGAACGCCTATCCACTGCCAAGGATCGATGATATGTTAGACGCGCTGGATGGATCCGCTTATTTCAGCACATTTGATCTGACCTCTGGCTACTAGCAGGTTGAAGTAGAAGAGAGCGACAGAGCCAAAAACCGCCTTTATCCCGCCCTCCGGATGGTACGAATTCCAAACCCTGGTATTTGGCCTGTCCAATGCTCCATGTATATGTAAAAAGCACTATCTGATTTGATCCCGCGTAAATGTCATATTTAGCTGGATGATATTATTGTATATGGGAAGACAGAAGACGAGCATTTGGATAATTTGGCGAGCGTTTGGAAACGCTTGGTGGGAGTGGGACTAAAACTAAAGGCATTATCTCTTAAAGAAGGAAGTGGCTTATTTATGGCACATAAGCACTGGAGCTGGTACCCGAAAAGACTGATCAGGTCAGATGGGGGGAAACGCTAACCACTACGGAGCAGCTATGGAGTTTTCTCGGGTTGGCGTCATATTATCAACGATGCATTAGAAATTTCTCATCTGTTGCAGCCCTCATTACATTCGTTGTTGGAAAAGTATCGGAAGTTCGAGTGGGCCAAGGAGTGTATAGAAGCTTTCAATCACTTACGAGAATCTTTCTGCACAGCCCTTCTGTTAATAATCCCCGATTGGTCCCCGTCTGTCAGCCAGTTTTCTTGGATACTGATGTGAGTGATAATGCGATTGGAGCCGTATTATCACAACTGGGATCCGATGGCGTGGAACGAGTCGTGGCATATTGCACTCGGAGTCTTAGCTCGACGGAGCAAAATTACTGCACGACCAGGAAAGTAATGTTAGCGCTGCTACATTTAATCAAACAAAACTGGCACTATCTATTGGGTCGAAAGTTTTAAGTCCGCACGTATCACCAATCGTTTTGTTGGCTGCGAAATTTGAAAGATCCGGGTAGAATCGCGCGTTGGTAAGAGCAATTGCAGGAATATGACTTTGAGTGTGAACATCGTCCCGGTAAGCAGCATGCTAACGCGGATGAATTATCACGAATTCCCTCTCGCAACCATAGAGTGCCCCTCGTGTAATACGGAACACGTTGCAATCGTTAAGCATTACGGGGCGGAGTATGATCGGTGGAAAACGGCACAGGCGGACGACCCCGATACCGCATTGATCTATGAGAGGCGTCTTCATGGCGGCGAGAAGTCAACGAGTAAAGAGATGGAAGGGAAAAGTTACGAAGTTTGGCGGTTTTGGGTTACGTGGGATCATCTGACCAATGAAGAAGGGGGTTCAGTTTTCGATTTCGGGCCGACGTACATCAGAAGAATCATCGTCCGATTTTCACAAGGAAATGGGACACGCATAGATCAACAAAACGTACGAAGCGGTTAGATGACGTTTCTGGTGGTCCCATCAACGGGAGACGTAATCAATTACAGTTAGGCGTGCGAAGAATGTGGTGCTTTCAAAAACCCCCGTATCGTTAATCGTGCTCATTGCAACCCATGGTGGCTGGTTATCCTAACGAGATAGTAGGTGTGGAACTCATAGGCCCTTTACCTGAGACGCCACAGGGGCATCGCTATATTTGGGTTATGATTGACTACTTCATTAAGTGCTGCGAGGCTGTACCTATACAGCAGGCTGATACGTCTATTGTGGCAACAGCTTTGGTAAATCATTGGGTTTGTAACTAGGGTGCACCAGTGCAGCTACACTCCGATAAGGGATCATGCTTCCAGAAGTCCCTGGTAATTGAAGTGTAATAGGTTAACGTCTGTTTCAATCGTCAGCATAACAAAAAGACAATTGATCAGAAAATTCAACTTCTGATCATGATGGCAGTCATCTGATCACATGACAGAAGTCAGGTGGAGTTGCAGGGACTTGGGATAGACAAGACTCAAACGATGGCGTGCAACCCTCAAAGCAACAGGCAAGTCAAAAGAATAAATCGCGCTTTCACATCACTTCTGAAGGCTTTCGCGTACCAGAATATTGATGAGTGGAACAATGTGTTGTCCAAATGCCTACTTGCATACAAGAGCACAGTTCATGCATCGACGGGACAAACACCATAGCTTAGATGGACGGGAAGAAATGAGCGATTACCTTCAGATTTACGTCTATCGATAACGCAATGGCTACAGCCGTCGGTCATGGAATATGTGAGTAAGATGTTGGATTGTATTTGGCCGGCGCATCAGTCAGCACGAGTGCATTTAGGAAACGCATGCTGACGTCAGAAGGAAGGTTAGGATACGAAGGTCTTCGGTGTACCCCTGAAAGTTCGCGAATTGGTTTGATTGCACCAGCCTCAAACATCCGGAGTGCCGGCAAAGTTTCACAGTGTGGACGGGCCCTTATACAGTAGAATGAGTGCTATCTGATACCAAGTGCATGATAAAGGATCGCAACAATTCTAATAGTCAATCCATAGTTGTCCATGGAAATCGCCTCAAACCTTTAAAATCAAACGCCGAGTCGGTTGAGTTAGAGGGCAGATTCACCGTCGCAAGGAAACTTGAAGTACCAGCGCAGAGGGCTATGGCGTAGCACCGGCGACGGCGCTAGAAGAAGGGAGGGTGTAGTGTAGTGAGGAGCGGAAACTGAGTCGGTGCGCTACTTAAGTTTGAACTCGCGCTTCCACTTCGCTCTCGTTTACTTTCCAAAAACCCGGGCGTGCGCTCTCACGAAGGAAGAAGTGCAAGCAGAAGAAGTAGCTTGACCATAACAATAATTTTCCATGTATAACGGTATTTCATCCACCGGAGTTGCTACGTGTTACGTAATACACATTCAGTTATAAGCATTGAAGTTCTTCCTGGCTGGGATACTGCACGTGCTCGCAGAGCTCGGCAACGTAGTTACAAACACCTCATCACCAAGCAAAGTGGGATAGTTAGAGCGTAGTGCACCGATTCGCTGTGTGGATAGTCTTGGTTTTCAGCAGTTACTATTCCGAGGGGGAGGGAAGCCAAAGTGGGTGTAAACATTACCATTAATAACGTCACATCAAAGAAGAAGCACCGTGAAATAGAACTACAGACGGCAAATGTTGATGAAACTCAGCAGAATTACTTCATGTGTAAATCATCGCGGGATTAGTCGCATTTCGTTTGCCTCCAACCTATTGCCATCCATACTGCTCCGTAGACTATCCCATACCGTGAAGAACAAGCTGGTGTCCGTCCCGGCTGCGGATGCGTGGATCAAATCTTCATGCTCCGCCAGCTCCTCGAACATCGCCACATTTAGCATAGGTCCACTATCGTTGTATTCCTAGACATGCCACTTTTGACTCCGTTGATCAACCTGCTTTATGGAGTTGATTGCTAAAGAACGGAGTGCCAGAGAAATATACCGCCATCTTACGAGCACTTTACCTTCACACATCCGGCAGAGTGTGGGTATATGACAAGCTTTCCTCGCAATTCGCTGTTAATAGCGATGTGCAACAGGGCTGCTCTATGTCCCCATTCCTCTTCAACTTCAATCGAAGATGTCCTGTCGAATGCTCTAGAACGTTTCCAAGATTTTGGCCTGCAGCTACAACTGGGTGAGCGCGCGACCGACTTAGATTATGCTGATGATATCGCCTTACTTGGTGACGATCTTCAGAGTATGTAACTCATTCTGGATAGTTTGGCGGTTGAAGCATCTAATTATGGCATGAGCTTCGCCCCATCGAAGTGTGAAGTACTGCTTAAGCATTGGCTTTCACCTGCTCGCGTACTCACTCTCAAAGCTGCACAACTTGCATAGGTCAATAGTTTCGTCTACCTTGGAAGCTGTATTTCTGCTGACGGCACTATCAGCAAAGAAGTTTCTCTACGCATCGCTAAAGCCCGATCAGCATTTGTCAATCTGAGGCACTTGTGGCGTCGTCGCGACGTCTCATTCTCGCTAAAGGGCCGCGTTTATAGCGCATCTGTTCGCTCAGTGTTGTTGAATGGGAGTGAGTCCTGGCCGTTTCGCGTGGAAGACATGCGTCGTCTTTCTGCCTTCGATAACGGTTGCTTAAGGAAGATAGCTCATGTTTGGTGGCAACATCGAGTTAACAGTAATGACGTTCGACGTCGCAGCTTGGGAAATGCGAGTATTTCCCCTCAACAAATTGGTTTTGCTGCACCAGTTGGGATGGTTCGGTCACGGACTACGCATGGCACCTGAGCGTCTAGCGCTTCGTGCTTTATTCGCTCGACAAGGACCTGGCTGCAGACGACCGCGTGGTGGTCAGCCATCCACTTGGCGACAGCATATGAAATCGCTGACGTCGTGTGTAGCCTCTGTTGGACCCGTACGTCTTCCAGGATGGTGACGCAAAGATGAGGAGTGTCAATGGCTTAACATTCTTGAAGACACGGCCCGCAACCGGAAGCAATGGAAGATTTATGTGCCGAATTGTATTGATTCACATGGTTAATACTTAAAATATGGAAAAGGATAAAAAAGAGAAATACCAGCGCGTGGAAAACAAACTAAAAATGGTTTGTTCTACTTTCTGTCAAAATGTTCCTTGCTTCCTGCGGCATAGTAGCTGAAGTGTGTTGCTCGCCTACAACTACTATGCCACGATGATTATGACGTAGTGACTTTCCCTTATCTGCTAATCTCCATGGTTTTGTTGGCTCTACGTCTAGTTGCTAGATTTTTGAAATTACATACATACATATAAAAAGAATTACTGTAAGCACATACTGAATATCCAAAAGCAGTGAATAATCAGAAATAAGTACTCACTCAAATGCAATGCGTTGAGATGTCTTCTCAGCATAGTCTTTCGAGAGAAGCCTGCGCCACAATGCTCGCACCTGTGCGGCCGCTTCTCTGTAGCAAAAAATACAGGAATATTACACAGTGTAAAGAAATACTGTCGACAGATACGTGACGCTATCGAATGATTGCTAACCGCAGAATGCTTCACTGAGCATTTCGACTCTATCAGTAGGTAAGAGAAGTAGCATAAATAACGCGGTTGTTCAGATGTTGCTGAAGACGCTCAGGTCAAAGCAAAGCAAAAAATATATATGTATAAAGAGCTTATCAGCATGCTTAAGGTTCCGAAAGCAATTCAACAATACTGAGCGGTGTCAAGAACAAGGGACCGAAGGTAAACAATTGTTTTCGATGAATTCCTCGTCAGACCTTTACAATCATATGGGTAAAGTTACTGAAATCGTCCAAGCCGCCCTCAGTGGTGAAGGTGCTAAACCAGTTCCTTAAGCTCTCCACTAGGCTTGCCGAAGCTAAAACTTGCGTTCAATTTTTCAATGATTGCATTGAACGCAATGAATATCCTAGCAGATTCTGGAAGCAATTACGCCGCAGTCGGATCTATCCTAACGCCAAAACGCTTAGACGGCATGCTTTGAACCAGCGTGACACGGTGCAATCCAAAATTGCCGAATTCGAGCGCAATATGGCGCAGCGCCAGCATGCGATTGATGAGTTAGCGTTGGACGTAAAACAAACATACCTGGAATACGTTCAGTTTATCACCGCAAACCGTGTACGACAAAGGCGTTTGGCCTTAACAAAGACGTTGAACCCGGTTAAGCCTCAATCTACTTTCCCAAGTAGACCTGACAGGTACGTGCATAACTTTTCAAGCCTGAAATTGAACTCTACTTTAATGGAAGTTCTATCATTTGGTCTAAAATTTTGCGTCCCCAGACACAGAGATAATCAGCTACACTGTGAGTTACAGTTTGAAAGCCTATTTCTTCAAACAAAAGGATTAGCAGCAAAGTCTAATGAGGACTTGGAACGCTTCAAATGTTCTCTGGTGAACAATTGCTACCAGTATCGTAAGTGCCATGTTCAAAATCATGGTCCACTGACACGCAAGCACTTTGATGCACTGAAGGATTTAAGGCGCAATGATAAGATCTTCCTGAACAAACCAGACAAAGGCACTGGGGTCGTTCTGTTGGACAAAGACGACTATATAAACAAGCTAGAAAGAATTCTGAGTGATGAAACAAAATTTTCCCGAACAATTGGAGAAAAGGATCAAACGGAGCGAGCCGAAAAACAGATTACTAAGAGCTTGCAAGAGCTTCGGAATAGCGGATACATCTCAAATACTCTTTATGACAGCCTTAAGCCGAGTGGCACGAATGTTCAGAGGCTTTACGGGTTACCTAAAATTTATAAGACTGATGTCCCACTTCGCCCAATTTCATCAATGGTTAATTAGCTCTATCATTCTGTTGCCCAATGGCTTGCGGAAATTCTTGAGCCAATAAGACAGCAACTTACACATTACAGCCTTCGTGACACTTTTCATTTCATCGAAAGTGTCAGGGACCGCAACATCAGTAAGAAAATAATGTTTTCCTCGGATGTTGTCTCGCTTTTCACCAACGTCCCACTTCCCAAGACAATTGAATACATTTGCACCTAAATCAAGGAAACACAGACAACGATAGGCATACCACTGCATGCTTTGAAAAGTCTCATTTTGCGTTGCACCTGGAACATACAGTTCCTATTCAATGGCACCTACTACCGTCAAAAAGATGGTGCAGCCATGGGATCGCCACTAGGTCTGCTGCTTGCTGATGTCTTCATGGCAAAACTAGTGAACACCAAACTACATGCGGAGATCACCACCTTTGATTGTTATCATCGCTATATGGATGACATATTTGTTGTGGCCGATCAGTCCACTGACATCGACGCTGTTATTGAACGTTTTAATCAGGCCCACGCAGCATTGCAGTTTACCTGCGAGAAGGAAGTGAACAACCGGTTACCGTTCCTTGATGTATTGTTAACTCGTAGGATAGATGGTTCGATCCAACGGCACGTCTAAAGAAAGAAAACCTGGAGTGGCCAGTATACGAACTTCCATAGTTTCATTCCTTTGAGATACAAACGAAACCTAATTCGCACTTTAACCACAAGGTCCCGCAGGATTTGTTCTGAAGACACGTTGGATACTGAGTTGGAGTTCATTCAAAGTGGGTGTCCTGATCGATTCATTAGTAAGAACATGCAAGAAAAACCCGACCCTGTGCAGGTTCTAACAGCTGGGAAGAAAGAACTATTTATAAGATTACCTTTCAAAGGAGACGCAGCCGCCGAACGTATAGCCAGAAGCCTTTCTACAGCCGTTAAGTCAACTTTTCCAGCTGCTAAGCTCAAGTGTACTTTCTCAACGGAACCCCTCATTCGCATTTGCAACAAAGACAAATTGCCGATGCTGACCGCTTCTATGGTCATTTATCAGTTCGAGTGCGCCTGTGACGCTACTTACATCGGTCGAACGGCTCGGCACTTGTCAAGGCGCATTAATGAGTACCTTCCACGCTGGTTGTGTCGAGGCGGTACCGGGGCTATAATTAGCTCTATTATGGCTCATCCAGTTGATAGTGGACACGAAGTCGATCCAGTCCGCGCCTTTCGAATACCCTACAAGGTTCCGCCAATCCAAACGAAAGGCCTGCGCCTCCCTACCCTCGCTACAGCTGAGGTGATCAGTATTCGGTTGTATCAACCGCTTTTGTGTTCACAAAAGAAACTAATCGAAGCTCTCACATTACCATGGCCAGAAAAAGTGGACGATTCGGAGGCCGGAAGGAATCATTTGACTACATCTTTGCCCTAGTGTGCGCTGATCGTTTAGGTTTATTGCTGGTTTATGCCCCCGGTTGGCATGTGATCCAATTTCATTTGAACTGGTCGAATCCACTGTTACCTCCGTTGCTCTTTACCCATACGATTGTAAAGGTCTGACGAGGAATTCGTCGAAAACAATTGTTTACCTTCGGTCCCTTGTTCTTGATGACTAAATGGGAATTTTCCAGTTACTGAGCGGTGTATTCGACTAAGATATACAATGAGGAAAAGTGATGCTTCTAGCTACAAACTGTACAGAACGTCCGATGACTCTATAATGACAGAGAGTAATAATAATGGTAGAAAGAAAAGAAATGCCGATATACCATTCATTCACAAGTGCGCAATGGAGGGAATTTTCGAAGATAGCTTAAAATGGCAATGCACAGGCAGGAAACAGAAGAAGAAAGCGATATGAAACATGAAATGCCGAGAGTACCGTATATATGGTTGGCGACATCCGAGTCTGTTGACTGCACTGCGGACTCCACATGGTGACAGCCACAGGACGTCTGCGCTATGGGTGGCTTGCGTTGCATCACCCACAACTATATCTGTACGCCCCACATCCAGTGTTAAAAGAACTACGTAGGAGCTCGTCCAGTTAGTAACAGAAGATAACATTTCAGAGTGTGAATGCTAACTTGTGTGGTGGCGAAAACATACAGACTCCGTTTGTCAACCCGCGACCTCGAAGCATTGAGCGAGTCAACCAGTCTGTTGACTAGCATCCAATCGATCAGAGCAGGTTCAGCCTCAGGGCTCGAAGTAATGCTAACCAACTTGATCGGTTTTCAAAGCTGCATTATCTTCGGATTTATGCAGCGTGATGAGACACCAGTGCCAGACGAAGGGGATAATGGAGTGAACACGGAGGTTGAGTTTCGCAATAGGCTTTTGCATGCATAGCAAGTATCAATAGACAGGGTCCCTAGAGTTCGGGAGAATGCTATCTGTTAGCCGGTCTCTGACAAAGTCGGTACGTTAAATCACGCCACTCTTGCGGAGGATCGAGGGCTTGAAGGTGAATGCATGACCTGAGCTCATACGCTTAGTTGCAAATTAGTGTTGCGACTTCGATCAGTAGAGCGCAGTAATAGGCTATGGCGTTAAATTGACACTCCTGATGACAGTAAACCCAAACAACAGGAAAAAACGGAACATAGTCCAATCAGTTTCTCCCTTCCACATGCAATACGGGAGACACTTTCTGATTGCCTTGTCCGGAGACGATACAGCTATAAATGTCCGTTAAGCCGGTGTAGGCATTGTTTTGAGCCCTGAAGCTGAAGCTGCTTTAATCGACTGGATCTAATTCAACAGCAGAATGTGCGCATTGAAATTTGTTGGTTAATTCAGAGCTTCGAATATGAGCGAGGACAAACACTGTCTCTATATCATTGCAGCATGCGCCACCAGCAAAGGTAGCGCGGACTCCGTGATAGATGACTTCTAGTGTATATATATATATATATATATATATATATATATATATATATATATATTGCCTTGTGGGACAAGCTATTGAGCCAAAGGCTCCGGGTGGAGTCCCTCAAGCAAACCTCCGAAGCACAACGACCACCCCACGTGCGATTGCCCACCAATGCAATCGTACGCCTGTGCGCAAAGCACTCAGAATAAGGTGCTAAAACGCGTGCATACCACCGGACCGGAACTCGAGTGGAGGCCCCAAGCGAAGCACTGCACTGGTCACGATGGAAATTGCGCGGTAGAACATCGATAATGCGACGCTCAGTGAGAGCCGGCTCGATGAATAAGGTAAGTTGCATGAAGCAGGTGCTGGTTACACGTTCCACTGGGTGGGCAACGCAACCTCAGCACCACGTGATCATGGGGTCGGGTTTGCAATAACCAATCGCCTCCATGGCCAGCACGTGGGTAAAACAACAGGCATCAGTGCGCGACTGATGACTGTTTGAATACAAGTCAAAAGAAGTAAGTATGCCACTTTTATAAACACGTACGATCCGACTATGTGTTATCCTGATGACGTGCGTGATCAATTCTACACTCAGCAATCCTCCGTGGTACGGTCTGCGCCGAGCAGTAAGCGACTATCGCTGCTGGGTGATTTCAACGCGCGCCTTGGGCGTGATGCATCGGTGTGGACAGATGTCATCGGTCCGCATGGCAGTGGTTCAACGAATGCGAACTGTGATACGCTGCTCTCACTGTGTGCCATTCATGATCTGACGATCACAAACACACGGTTTGCACTGAGTGCGAGCGATATAGTAACTTGGACGTATCCACAGAGTGCTCACGATCACCTGCTCGACTACGTCATCGTACGTCAGCGTAATATGCGTGCAGTGCGCATTACACGTGTACTGTGTTGAGCTAAGTGTGGCACTGATCACAACGTAGTTCAGACCAAACTGTACATACATTTTCGTAGATCTATGTGTTGCATTCCCGTCGTGAATCGGCGTAAATGTAACATTCTCTTCCTCAAGACTGTGGTGAAACGTATCGAGCTGGAGAAGGCGCTGCCTGTACGCCTGTGTGATGTGGAATGCATAGCCACAGTGGGCGACCTGTGGCAACAAAGTCGCGACCAGGTGACAGCTGTTGCCGAGGTGATCATCGAGCGCGTAAACTGTAAGCGGCCTGATTGGTTTGATGAGAACAATGCGACGATTGGCGCATTGGTGTCAGAGAAGAATGTAGCGTTTGCTGCACATGTGGCAGACCCCAGTGACTTGGGGTAGAAGAGAAAGTTTGGCAGAATTCGACGACGGCTGACCCCAGAGCTCCGCCGCATTAAAAATGCATGGTGGACGGAGAAGGCAAAGCAAATGGAATGCTACACCGAACACCACCAATAAAAGAAATTCTTTGACTCCTTGAAGGCGGTGTGTGGACCGAGGTTGGAGCCGCTGACGACGCTGATCGATGGTAGTTCAAGACCTACCTGCACACAGTCTGCAAACATAATGCACATCTGGCAAAAGCACTTTGACCATCTCTTGAACAACCGTTCCGAGATCGACTGGCCTAGTTTGAACGTAAAACAGTGGGCCCCCTTCAGCCATTTCGTTAAAGCAGAGAGAAGACAGAGGTTGCGATATGTCAACACTTCGATTGTTCTCTTCAGTTGCAAACACAATACGAGCAGAAACACACAAGGGGCTATATACATGGAAAAAAATAAGCACCACCAATCAAAATGTCACAGTCAAGATCATGGCAACCGAAATGATTGCCTCAAGAGTTTCTGTGCACGTAGCACAGGTTGATAAGCCTTAATTAACAACGCCTCACTAATTGTCAGCATTATTGGGTTTTTGTAATGTAATAACACCTTGAACGCCGTCTCGGGGTTCATGTGATGACGGGTTGTCATGAGGTAGGTTATCGGAAGAAACCGCAAACACGCGATGTAAACTCACTCAAGTGTACAGCGTCTACGTGTGCCCGGAGACGGCACTCAAAGGAAAACAATTTTCCACAGTATTTGCATGCGTGGTCTCGTTGATCTGAAATAGAAAACAGGACGTTTACATCCAGGTACAACATCGAGGGATGAACTATATTAATTGTGGTTCCTCGCAGTCAGCTTCCAAATCAGAATCGTCTACATGCCCGGAAAAGCACTAGACTGCAGTTTTAGCCTGTTGGGCAGCATCAGTAGTGCGCATCCATCGGATCCATCAGGATTCGATCCCATGACCACCAATGACTTGAACCACCAGTCAGCAGCTTATGCCACTGGGTCACGTGGGACAGCTTCGAATCGTCATGATTTACAAGTTGGCTGCGATATAGCGCTGGGGAAGAACTATTTCATGGCGCAAAATTACTGCATAATGACCATTGGCGATATCGGAAACATAGTCAGATCTACGTTCGCTATTGGCTGGTCGCAGATGATAGTCGCGCAAATGCGCATGCACACACCAGCGTACACACACATGGTTGGCGGCATCCGGTTTCGGATTTGCCTGTCACTGTGGCAAGCCACAGGACGCCTGCGCCTACAGAGGGACCATGGATGGCTTGCGCTGCACCACCCACAGCTCCAACCACATACCCCATATCCAGTGTAAACCCGAAGGAATAAGACCGGGAGGCATGCGGATGGGAACCACGTTTCATCAACGGAGCCGGCCCACACTCCTTCACAGGCAAACACAAGCACGCTGTATTTGAGGAATCAACCGCACACAAGGCGATGGCTGGACCGTAGTCCGCTCCACACTGAGTGCATGGAACCGCTCTTTGAGCCTAGCACGGCCACAAGAACCGTGCACCCCGTCCCCTCCAGCAACGACCAACTGTCTCCTGAAGCCAGTATGAACGATGTAGTGGGTAATAGACAGGTAGGCACCTTGTCAACATACACATCAAGCGCAACCATACCAGGGATATCAAACAACAGCCATTCACTTTAAACGACAAGCTGAAATAAAATAAATCCAATAATGCATACAGATACGGTGGCATAACTCTTCGCTAAATTACCATATGAAGTAATTCGGTTAGCAACAAATCCGTGATAAGTAAGAAATGTTCACAAGTTACTTAAAATGCTACAAACGCAACAAAATTACCGAAGATAAGCGCAATTAGTGTAAGCAACGTGGCCAGTTAATAGAACATTATTCAGGGAGGCAGAACAAACCAAATAAAGCGGAATGAAATTTATCCAGCTTAAAAAGACCTAGTTTAAGTGTAAGTTGGTTTAGCCCAACTGTGGTGAAGAAGCATCAAGAATGCAACATCAGCCTCAGCATGGGGCACAATACACAATACACAACAGTCAGTCTGGCCGATGCAGGCGACAGGTATAGCCGAGCCACCACTAGAAATAGAGATGCACGGCGCTCACGTTCAACTTAGGGCCAATGTAGGATGAAGAACTGCACATCATTCGGCCTTCATTAGTCTGTTAGCAACGGGTTCAGTGGTTAGCGATAGACGTGTTCGAACTCGTTTCGAACAGCGCCTAGCCGAGAGTTAGGAAAGCTTTGGAGCATTTCTGGTAACAATCTTGACTGGGTGTTTCGAAACAGATCTATTGGTGGTTCCAACAATACAAATCCACAACGCAGATGGGTAAAGATCAGTTATCTGTTCCACAAATCTTCTGGTTGTGTCCCAGGTACTTTAACATACGAACAGTCAAAGAGCCGTATGATGACAACCGATCGACATCAGGATGTCAAAATCATAACATAGCACAACACCTAGCAGTATCGAAAGGTAACATAAAGCAGGAGGACGCACTGTTGATGTGGCCATGAGAAGCGATTCCGAAACTGTGGATAGAGGGATAAGTACAGCGCAAATTCCAAAATGAACTCATTTCTAAAGATGGTTCGCTTTTTAAGGGCAGTCATTCTGCGATTCTACCATGGCTGAGGAAAGATCTACTGGAACACGTCTACCGAACTCATATGGGCGTCAAACACTGCAATAATGGTGCAAGAGCTAGAAATGACACGTCAAGCCGTCCGGCAAAACCATACCACGAAAATCAGCGGAGGATGGAGCCATTAATGCCAAAGGATCGACAATGTCAAAAGATCGAAACTACTCGACACATTCACAGATCGACTGCTTACGAGTATGTGTTGATAGAGTCTGGTAACCGGGTTTCAAAAGCTTCATCGCCAAGTAACATGGCATCGTTTGAGTGTAGCGTGCTGTCTCATCCAGTGAGGAGTGTGTTTTTCTGAATTCATTACCCAGAGAGCGCATGGAAGCCTAAGTAGGTGTAAGCATGACCACAGACAAGGTCACATCCAAAGCACAGCATCATGTGAAATATAGCTCTGGATGTTAAGCGTCGATGAAATTCATCAGAATACCTTTAAGCACTGTCGGAATACCCTAAAACATTGCACGTTAAAAAGGAGCAGTCACTCAAATGCACCCCGTAAAGGTGTCTTTCAAGCACAGTCTTCTGAAGGAAGCATCTGTCACAATGCTCGCATCTGTGGAGCTGCTCACCTGTGATGGTAAATATAGTAATAGTAGCAAAAGTAACGGAACTAAAGAACAGGCTAACATCGATGCGAAGAGCTTCCAAATCGATTGATAACCTGAGGATACTCCACTAAATACTGCATTCCCACCAATAAGTAGGAACAGTGGCGTAAATAATGCGGGTATTCTGATGTAGCTGATGGCGCCCTGATCACCAAAGTTGGCAAAAATAGGTTGTGCGATGTCTTCGACCACGATATACTACGAAGAGTGCACATGGCCACGGACTGCACAGAACTTCGATGATTAAACAACGCACTAATTGTGGTTCATGTGTCAGATACCATAATATTGCCAGTGCACATAGAGGAATCAAAATAGTGTAACGGAAATAAATACCGAAACCCCCCTCATTCAAGTGCGCAACGGAGGAAATCTTTCAAAATAACCAAAACGCGCGACAAGTATGCAGGAAATGGAAGAAAACGATGAAACATGAAATACCGTAAATGATTGGTCGTATGGAAATCCGGAATGTCTGTCAACTGCGGCGTCCATAGAAGAGCCACAGAAGGCATCAGCCAACTCAAGGATCGTGGGTAGGTTGCGCTGAACCATTCACAGCTCCATCCACACACCCCATATTCAAAGTAAATCCGAAGGAATAAGGTCGGAAGGTATGAGAATGGAAGCCACGGTTCATCATCCGAGTCGAGCAACACTCCATCAACATGATAAGAAGCAGCATCCCTGTTCATGTAGGGAAGCATGCATACCAGACGTACACAAAGCGGTGGCTGGGTGTATGGATACATTCCTTGAGTATGGCACTGTCAGAAGATCTGTACCCTACTTTTCCCAGCATCAACCAGTAGAATCGACATAGCGGTTTCTCGACAGCTACGCACTATATCAACATTTACATTAAGTAAACACACACCGGGGACAGCAAACAACGAGCACTAATTGCGAAAGAAAGAGAAATAATAAATAACGGTTAATTGATTCGTCCCTGCGGCTGACAAATGGGACAATCTAAGCGTCAATCTAGGGAAGCACAAGACGTACGTTTCGCACTATTGAGGCTCGTCAGTGGTGCGCAACCACTAGGTCCTCATCTAGGAAACGAACGGCAGCTTGTGCCAACTAGCCAACAGCTTATGCCACGGGGCCAATGGGGACGGTGCAAGTTAACTAGGATATAGCGCAAGCTATCCTCCACTGACATGCAGATTATGAACCGTGCAGAGAACAGTGTCTGACCTCAGGAAGTCACGTCCACAGCACTTTAGCTATGGAAAACATCATATACAACCATATAGTCGTGGGAAGATTTCACGGCGGGAAACAGCCACGTGAGATCCCGATAACACACAGAAAACGGATATGAAAATGAAACCATGCCTTCGGGTTATTGGTTTGATGTTGTATGCACGGAACTACTACTCGCAGACTATGTTTGGGAGTTGACACCCAGGTGCCAGCAAGAAATGCGAAACCACGAGTAGCTCAGCAGCGTCAAAGGCTCCGAATCAACAATCACCTTGCCATTGCAGGCATGAGTGAAATGCTAGACAACGGTATTGTACAAAGCTTCAACTCGCCTTGGCAAAAGTCGTCAGTTGGCCTCCAACTCAGTAGCAGTAAGTATAAACTGGCTAACAGGTTGCAAAGTTGAATTTGGAGAATCCGCTGGTGGCTGGGTTGCTACAAGCAACCTCAATTGAGACCTCGGCTAACAGGTTCCCCATAGCTCACGCTAAACGTAACAACGAACTCGCAGAATAAAAATGGACAAAAAGCAGTTAATTACAAACAACATTTGATTGACATATTAGGGGTGTAAAAAGTGTAGAACATGAACCTGTACGGATAATAAGCACGCAGAAGTTGAACGGCCGGGTTCCGTCGAATTTCTATCAAGTTGCCAAACGTACGTACACGGAAAGTTCACTTTTCGCGCTGCTCTCTCCGTCCGGTTCCCGTCCCAACAAGCAGAGGGGACTAGAAGAAACAACTCGGGTGAGCAGTGATACCGATAGAAAAATAAATGGTTATATATGGTTGGCGGCATCCGGTTTCGGATTTGCCTGTCACTGTGCCCAGCCACAGGACGCCTGCGCCTACAGAGGGACCATAGGTAGCTTGCGCTGCACCACCCACAGCTCCAACCACACACCCCATATCCAGTGTAAACCCGAAGGAATAAGACCGGGAGGCATGCGGATGGGAACCACGTTTCATCAACGGAGCCGGCCCACACTCCTTCACAGGCAAACACAAGCACGCTGTATTTGGGGAATCAAGCGCACACAAGGCGGTGGCTAAACCGTAGTCCGCCCCACACTGAGTGCATGGAACCACACTTCGAGACTAGCACGACCACAAGGAGAATGCACCCCGTCCCCTCCAGCAACGACCAACTATCTCCTATAGCCAGTATGGACGTGGTAGTGATTAATAGACAGGTAGACACCTTGTCAACATGCACATCAAGCGCAGCCACACCGGGGATGTCAAACAATAGTTAATCATTTGAAGTGACAGTATCAAATAAAATATATCTGTTAAGGAATATCGCTACGTAAACATAACTCTTCCCTAAATTAGCATATGAAGTAAGTTGGTTAGCAAGGAATCCGCGATAAGTACAAAATGTCCAGAAGTTACTCAAAAATGCTACAAACACAAAAGTCTAACGAAGATAACCACAATTACCGTATGCAAAGTGGCCAGTTAATAGAAGATTAGTCAGGTAGGCAGAACAAACCATAGACATATAAATTTATTTATCTATGTAATCAGTCAGAACCGAGCAATCGCGGTGCCGTATGGCATTTTGGCTAACGCGTAGTCTCGCTCACACCCGCGTGGCCATTGACGCAGTTCTCACGCTTAAAGTCTCCGACAATTTAGCCGTTTGACGTCCTTTGGGTTTATTATGTGTCGCGACTCAGAAATTTCGGTGCGGCTCACACAACGCCCACACATCTCACTGGATTTTAGATACGGCCACCTATGCGAGTGTGCCGACTTGTTACCAAGCCTAACGTGACCTTGCTTTACATCGCTAAGGTGCATCTCAGAATTTGGCGATTTTGCTACACCATTAGTACGCAACTTTCTGTGTTCAATTCACAGAGAGACGTTAGGCTAGTAACTCGATTTGCGATCAGTTTTATCGTTAAGAATACGAATCGAAATGCTTGTTAGTTCTCATAAAAGTCCAAATGTCATAGGTAGGACAAAGAAGTAAACCGGAATCAATTGAAATCTGTTGCAATATATTAGTAAAACGAAAATGTCTAAGCTAAGAGGACGGGAAAACAAGATGCAGCAGCTGTCCACCCTGGTGAAAATATTGATTCACTGCTTAAAATGCAAAACCGCATCACTGCCCTTGAAGAAGTTATCTCACTGAAAATCGAACTGCTGCATTTTGGTGCAAAATACAAGCAAGTCGTGTCCCTTGTGCGAAATACTTAAAGATTCAAATGACTCGGAATTATCAAGAACGAAAGACTGAGGGTGAACAATTGTTTTCGATGATTCATCTTCAGACCTGTACAATCATATGGGTGAAATCGCAATGGGCAATTACAAGGGGATTAACGATCAGTTCAAATGAGATTGATCACGTGTCGATCAAAGGCATGAACCAGTAACAAACAGAAAACTAGGGTTGAGGTACCGTTGCACAATTGCAGTTGCTGTCCGAAGGATCCGTTTTGGCTGGCCAAGGTAGCTGAACAGCTTCGATCAGCTTCTTTTGTGCACACAAAAGAGGTTGGTACAACCGAATGCTGATCGCCTCGGCAGTAGCAAGGTTCCGGAGGCGCAGGCCTTTCGACTGGAGTGGAGGGACCCTGTACAGTATTCGAAAGGCACTGACTGGGTCAACCTCATGCCCACTATCAACCAGATGAGCCATAACTGAGCTAGTTGTAGCTCCAGTACCGCCTCGACGCAACCAACGTGGTAGGTGCTCCTTAATGCGTTTCGAAAGTTGCCGCGCCGTTCGACCGATGTAAGTAGCGCCACAAGCGCACTTGAACTGATAAATTACCATAGAAGCGGTCAGCGTCGGTAACTTGTCTTTGTTGTAAATACGGATGAGTGGCTCCGTGGAAAAGGTACACCTAATTTTGGCTGCTGGAAAAGTTGACTTGACAGCTGTTGAAAGGCTTCTAGTTACACGCTCAGCAGCGGCGTCTCCCTTGAAGGGTAGTCGTATGAAAAGTTCTTTTTTCTCTGCTGTCTGAACCTGTAACTGGTCGGGCTTACTTTGCATGTTCCTCAAAATGAAACGATCAGGATATCCGTTTTCGCGCAGCAAATTCTGAATGTGGGTCAACTCATTATCCAACTTGTCTTCAGAACAGATCCTGTGGGCCCTTGTGGTTAGACAGCGAATTAGGTTTCGCTTATATCTCAACGGAACGAAACTGTGAAAGTTCGTATACTGGCCACTCCAGGTTTTCTTCCTGTAGACTTGCCGTTGGATCGAGCCGTCTGCCCTTCTAGTTAACAGCACATCAAGAAACGGCAACTGATCGTTCAATTCCTTTTCGTAGGTGAACTGCAATGATCCGTGGGCCCGATTAAAGCGGTCAATAACAGCGTCAAGATCAACAGACTGGTCGGCCACGACAAATATGTCGTCCATATAGCGGTGGTAACATTCAAAGGCCGTGATCTCCTCATGTAACTTGGTATTCTCTAATTTCGCCATGAAGACATCAGCTAACAACGGACCCAATGGTGATCCCATAGCTACACCATCCTTTTGTCGGTAGTAAGTGCCATTGAATAAGAATCTACGTTCAGTGCAACGCAAAA